TTCTTCAGTCATGCGTGTTCACCATAGACACACATTAATGTGAAGAAAAACTGCCTTTACTTAAGTTTTTTTCTACAACCCAAGGGTGCCTGGGTGCATTAAACTGACTGAAACTCTCTGCCTCGGTTGTTGTAGTTCAGCTTTTGTCTCTTTGTGTAAAGTACTTAATGTAAAGCCCCAATGCTACTAACCACAGTGTATCTTTTGCTGCAGCCGCATTATCTTGTGGTTCTAGATCTCTATCATATCTACTCAGCAGATGTTGCTAATTTTTAACAACTTCAACAATGTATTTGTTTTTTTGTGTCATTGAATAAAAACATTTACATATACACATGTGAAATATGGTGTTAATCCTGCTTCAATTATTAAATTCAATTATCAGATTATTTTACACTGTTTTAATTTGATAATTAAGTAAAGAGCCCTTCCAGCTTCCAAGATATGTTCCTTTTAAAATGCTTGATGCTTGTGTTTTCTTCTACCAACCATTTAATCAGCTTTTAACACATTCCATTATTTATGGTCATCTGATCAGGCATCCATTTGTTTTACAGGGTTGGGTGAACTATATGCAAAGCAGAATGGGTTTTATTGACCTTTTTGGCCCAAACACATCTCATGATAAATTGGATTGGTCACGCTTGATTGTGTTTCACACTCAGTTTCAGGAGGCCACAACTAAAGCAACAAAGTACACTCTGAGAGGACATCCATCCATGCTCTGACTAACAAATAGTTAGTTAAGGTTTTACTGTCATTTATCCTTTAGATGGCAGTATAATTCAACGTTATCTTTACTATTAAAATTAATCCAAATGTGTCCTATTTAAGTTTGATATACCAGTATTTCCATTTGAACGTTCCGGTTTATATTCAAACAAGTTAAGACTACCTTTTTAAATTTTAGCTTTTTAATTTGGAATGATTTAAAACGATTGTTAGGATTTTGACAGCATTTTGGCATTGACTAATGTTTTGATTCATACAGTCCCAGTATCTTTTTGTATATCTGGCAGAACAGATTGTGACCAGTAAAAAATAAATAATTTTGAGAAAAAATGTTATTAGATCAAATAACAACTACGTCTAACACATTAATTGATGCATTTGCTCCATTCATCGTAAGTTTAAATACTCTTAGTATACACAAAAATACATTAATGCGAAATAATGTCATGAAATATGTTTTATTTCATGAGAGTTTATATATATATATATATATATATATATATATATATATACAGGTGCTGGTCATAAAATTAGAATATCATG